AGCAAAGCAAAAGCTGGTATTAATTTGAGGTAATTTATCATTATATAAATTGTTTGGTTGGCACCGAAATTGCAGGCAAACCGCGTCCAAGCATTCACTGGTATAAAGACAGTACACTATTGGACGACTCCTGGATAGTGACCCCACAGGGAATCGTACGAAACGAGTTGAGTATAACACGTCTGTTACGTACGGATCACAAGTCTATCCTCACGTGTCGGGCCAACAGCTCTAATCTTTCCCGACCAGTCTCTGCCAGCATTGCATTAGAGCTCAATTGTAAGTATTATATACACTATATATACAATATATTCTCTACTTTATATAACATTCACTCATATATACAGTTAGATATACCGTGTATTGTAAGTAGACTTTTCTGGACACTTCTCTCTCACTTTGCTATTTACACTTCTTATTCTTCTTTCTCTATCTCTCTATTTCTTATTCTCTTTATTCTTATATACATTTTTTCTCTCGTTTTATATTTTTTTGCTATTTTTTATTTATTCCCATTTCTTTTTGGACATATTTTTTGGTGTTCATACAATTCAATCGATTGTGTGAAGTACTTTACCTTCTTGTAGTTTTTGCCGCCGCTGTATAATCTCTCTCTCTCTCTCTCTCTCTCAATATTTGTGACACAAGACTTAAATCATATCCAAAATCCTTAATATCACTTGAATTGAATTGACTTTAATTTGGTATATCAAGTGTTTCATTAATAATATATGTGAAAGTTATATACAATTTTTGTCAATTTCTTATGAAAACTAATGTTTTATTTACCAAAATATGAGTTCAATTCTCATAACATATATATAAAAGTGTCACAGAATTTATATAATTCAATACGCTTTTGACTTTTGAGACATTTATTTATATAAAATAAATTTATAATAACTTGTGTTATAAATGAAGAGCAAAAAAAAGTGTATGTATAGAGAGAAAAACACTTTCGTTAAAAATAAAGTTTACATTAGAAATACAGTTCAAGTGAATTGACTTCGAAAACATTTATTTAAAAAATTAATTTATATAAAAACCCATTTGTGTTGAAATGAAAGGAAAATCAATTCCAGAATTTAAGGCAAAAAATTCCTATTTATTCCCCAAATAAATCGTTTACAGAATAAAAACCAATATAAAACAAACATAACTTAAATTGACCATGATTATATCGGCAGATACACCACGTTTAACCGTATCGTTCGGCGCGTCCATACATCACGATCAGGTCCGGGAGGGCTCTAACGTGTCGTTCGTGTGTCACGTGACGGCCAACCCTCCCGTCTCGGAGATCGGCTGGAAGTACGACCAGAAGGCGC